GGGTCACAGACAACGACTGACACGGGGCACAGACAACGACTGACACCAATCACAGACAACGACTGACCCCAATCACAGAAACGACTGACACGGGTCACAGACAACGCCAAAGTAGCACACCTCTACAAAGTGGGTGACTACCCCCTGCTGGTGGTAGTTTGGAGCTGCTTTAATGCTTTAGTAAATGTTTCTGGCTAAGAACGACGATGTTTCTTTACCGCGATACAAACACATCACAACAACAGCGACAACCGCCTGACTCTGGAGGCAAGAACAACAACAACAGTGCCCTCCTGTGTCCAACTTAGGTCATTACCCTAGATTAAACGCTCACGGTACAACTCCGATTTAGTTTTGTGTTCGTGTTGACAAATGTCTTTTCGCTTGTTTATTTCTGTTTTTCCTTTTTATTTTTTTTCACCAAAATCTTTTGAATAATCTTTATTTACAGTAAAATATCACGATATAATTCGAGAAAATGTTGTGAGGTCGGATTTAAAAATCCGCGATGTACTGAGGGAGGAAAGGAGAACCGCGATACAGGCAGGGTTTTTATTCATGAATGTTCTCGTAGTTCTTGACGTCATTGAAACGACTGAATGTCTGAAGAAGAATCAAGAATCAAGTGGACCACCGTCCAGAGAGCCGTGACTGGTCAGACCGCTGGAGTGAGGACGACGCCCCCCCCTCTGCTGTCCACTCCCCCCAGCAGAGATCGGCGGTGAAACTTGACGCGCCCAGCGCTGCCATCATCACATGGCAGATGGAAAATTCCACTGTGTGTCTGGGCTTGTTTAAATGGGAAGGGGCTCCAAGCTGTGGTTCACTGCTGCACCTCCTCCACAGCCCGTGAGCAACTGAGGACCGCCGTCCAGCCCGAGGTAACTGTACTCACTCCTACTGTGTTACTACTAGGGCGATAAGTAGTAGTATCGGTGACAATTGCGGTCCAGTTTGGGCCACATGTGTGGGTCGCTGTTCATGTTGATCACCGTGGTTCTATTCAAACGGTGGTTCTGCAGCGGGAGGGAAGGACGGAAGACCGGGGCTGAGGATGGACGAAGTGTCCTCGACTGAGACTGAGACTGAGGGGAGGTAACACGGGGAGCATGGAGTGGGCTGCGACCCACAGTGGCCGCTGCAGGAGAAGAGTCGGTCCGTGGGAACGCGAACCTGGTCGGTTAATCTTTTCACTTCTCTCTAACAAACAACCGACCTGTGGTCTGTGGACTCTGTTCACCCACGGACCGCGAACCTCCCACGGCAGCAGTAGTGCTGGTAGTGGATCCGTCGTGTGCCGCGCGTCTTCGCCAACAACACAAGACACAAAGACGTCGAGGACCGATCGAGGTTGACGTCGTTTCACGTACACGTGGCCTCGTGCACGAGAGAAACGGTTGAAGTGATTCACGTCTGGTCACGTGAATCGGTGACGCGTGGATAAATGTTTGTAGTAAATAATAAGTATTTCTGGGGTTTATGTAACAGCCTGGCCTGTACTGCATGTTATGACCAGAGGTGGAACTGCAAGTACTGCAGAGTACTGCAGAGTACTGCAGAGTATTGACAGTTAACTGTGCAGGGTTGGAAGTTGAAGTATTTTCATGAAGAAAATAAATATTCTCCACGGTGAATATTCATGATTATTACTGTAGTACTTTATTATATTTCCATGTGCTCAAAGTAGAACCTGATTGGAACTATGATTGGAATTCAAATCCACCCCCCCACTACCCTCCCCCCCCAGGCAAGAGTCCCGTTGGATCAAGCTGAGGTGCAGGGTCCACTTCCTGTCCGAGGATGTAAATAATAATGTCATTTGTTTTCACTCGTTATAAAGTACTAATTTA